ATAAGGGGACCACAACTGTTCACACATTTATTTTTCCTCTTTTCTTCTTGACGATGTCCTGAAGGCTCGGCCTCAGTGTGAACCTAAACTCTAAGCCTCAGCATGGAGCTGGTATGGCAATCTCTTGGCCCGGTGTGGTGGTCTCTCGGTGGACCCGGTGAGACAGTCTCTCGGCCGACTGAGCGCGGCAGCCTTTCGGCCTGGCTAGTCCTCAATGTGGACTTCCAGCCTCGTTGATTCTACAGCAGTCTCCTGGCCTCGAGAGCCTAGAGGTGAAGCCCAGCGCAGTTTGGAGTCAGGGCACCAGTCTGGACTGGTTGGAAGGACTGTTGTTCTGAACTTTCTATTTCTTTATGTTTCTAATTTATTCCTATGATCTGTAACGCTGCACCTTTATTTCTACATTGTTCTAATTTTCTTCCCCCTAAGAATATGCACTTAAGAATCTGTACCTAGGTACCTTTGTAGCTAAGACGGCACCGTACGTGGTGACATGTAACTTTTCGTTGTACTCATTTGATTACATGTGACAATAAAGCAAATTCTAATATTCTGGGTGTGCCCTAACTAGTTTTGTAAGGACTTCACTAGTTTTATACTCCATTCCCTTTGAAATAAAGGCCAACATTCTATTTGCCTGATTGGGACTGTTAACCCGGTCCAATCAGGGAGCCCTGGCTGACAGATAGAAACTGGAATTTCAGGGGTTCCGTTCATTCTTGGAGCTATCTGCGACAATGTTGTGTACTACGCATGTGTGAATAAATGGTGACTTGGTAATGGGATACCAGCCTTAGCGGAGTTATTTCAGTGAGGAGCCCCAATTCCCTCTGCTCTGTAGCTTTCTGTAGCCTTTCCCCATAGGAAAAATATTCAGATCCTATATTCTTCCTACAAATGCTCATAGCCTCACACATTCCCCCACATTTTATTCCATCTTCCACATTTTTGTCCATTCTCTTAATTCATTTATAACCATCTGTCAACTTATTGTACCATCCTCACCAGTTGCTTTCCCACCAGTTTTTGTGTCATCCACAAATTTGGCTATTGTACCTTCACTTGTCCTACTTCAAGTCATTAATATATATTGCACTATGACACCAGCACTGATTCCTGTAGAACACCACTAGTTACAGGTTGCCATCCTGAAAATGCGCCCCTTACCTCAACTATCTGTCTTCTACTAGTCAGGTAACTCTCCATCCCTGCTAATAACCAATCCATAGCAGCATGGGATCTTTTCTTACTAAGTAGCCTTAAGTCTAACACCTTATTGAACACTTTTTGGAATTCCAAATATATTAGCTCTATTGGTTCCCCTGTATCTAACCTGCTTGTTACCTTCTCAAAGAACTCAAATAAATTTGTCAAGCCTGATTTCCCTTTCATGAAGTAATGCTTATTTTAATTGATTTTATTATGTATTCACAGTCATAGAGCTGTACAGCCCGGAAACAGACTTTTCAAGCCAACTAGTCCATGCTGACCATATATCCTGAATTAATCTACTCCCTTTTGCCAGCATTTGGCCCATATCCCTCTAAACCCTTCATATTCATGTACCCATCCAGATGCCTTTTAAATGTTGTAATTGTACCAGCCTCCACCATTTCTTCTGGCAGCTCATCCTATATATATACATTACCATCTGAGTGAAAAAGTTACCCCTCAGCCCCCTTTTAAATCTTTCCCCTCTCACCTTAAACCTATGCCCTCTAGCTTTGGACTCCCCTACCCTAGGGATCTTGTCTATTCATCCTATCCATGCCCTTCATGATTTTATAAACCTCTATAAGGTCACCCCTCAGCTTCTGATGCTCCAGGGATGAATGCTCTACTTTACATTCTTTATAATAGACTCTAACAATTTCCCACGATGGCTGTCCAGCTAACTGGCCTACCATTGTCTGTTCTTGATTCCCTCCCTTTTTGAATAAGGGCATTATAATGACAGCATTCCTATCATCTTGGAATTTTTCTAGACTCTAAATATTCTTAGAGTGCTACTATGACTGTGCTAACTCTTTAGCTACTTCCTTTAAATTTCTGGGATATAGCCCATCAGGTCCAGGGGATTTATCAGCTTTTAGCCCCCATTAGTTTTGTATTATTCTTGCTCAAGTGACATTTATTGTGTTTATTCCAACCCCCAACCCCTACCTTTATCCTGAGATTGTAAGAACTGCCAATGCTGGAGTCAGAGATAACACAGTGTGGAGCTGGAGGAATACAGCAGGCCAGGCAGCATCAGAGGAGAAAGCTGACGTTTCGGGTCGGGACCCTTCTTCATAAACGTCAGTTTTCCTGCTTCTCTGATGCTGCCTGGCCTGCAGTGTTCCTCCAGCTCCACACTGTGTTATCTCCACCTTTAGCCTCTTGTTTTTTTTTGTATTTTTGGTATGCTTTTATTGTCCTTTGCTACGAAGACTAATGCAAAGTATTGATTCAACTCCAGCTCTACATTATGACTTCCCCATCCTTGTAATATCGCAAAATATTTCACAAATAATGAATTCATTTCTTTAGGCAAATGCTGCAGCCAAATTGTGCAGAGTATGATCCACCAATAACAATCAGAAACCCTCTGGATGATGCTCTTGTTCAAAGATTGTTGGGTGCCAAACTTCCTCCCCTTTCGCTCTTTCGAAGTGTAGTTCCTTAATAATGTAAGAAATATCGCAGCCAATTTGTACATATGAAATTCCCACAATGTGATAATTACTAGGCAATGTTTTGCAATAATTATTGGCCAGAACACCACAGATAACATGCCTGCTCTTTGAGATAATGGGGACTTCAAAAGCTATTCCAAGCAGTTTTAAGGGATATCAGCTTAACACCTCCTCTAAAAGTCAGCATCCCACACAACGCTGTGAGAAAAGCAAAATACTATGAATACTGCAAATGAAAATAAAGTACTGGAGAAACTCAGCAGGTGTTGACAGAAACATTTTGAGTCTGATATGACTCTTTGCTCAGTTCTGAAGAACTGTATCTGAATATTAACTCTGTCTCTCTATCTGCACAGGCTGCCGAGGTTCTCCAGCACTTCCACGCCCCCAGAGCTGCCCCGGTGTGCCGAAATAAATTTCCACACTCAAACCAGATTTGAACCTAAAGCCTGAGTGGCAAAGTTGAGACGCCTATTGAGCCACAGCTGCTTTCATTTTGAGAGTATTTTTTACAATAGCAGGGCCCCTCTTGTGGCTCAGTGGTAGTGTCCCTACCTCTGGACCAAGAGGCCCAGGTTCAAGTCTGTTCCAGACATGTGTAATAATATCTCTGAACAGATTGATTAGGAAAAATAAGCTAAATTTTTAAAAAAAGTAGTGGGGGCTCTCTTATGGCTCAGTGGTAGTGTTCCTATGCCTGGACCAAGAAATCTTGACTCAAGTCCCACCTGCTCCAAACACATGTAGTAACATGTCTGAATAGGTTAGTTAGAAAAATATGTTCTTTTTAAAAATGGATACTATCAAGGAGCAGGCCCATGCGTTCTCCTTCTATAAGTACCTCGTAGTTAAATTTGACCACCTCAGAATATTTCCATTGTCCTCCAGCTAAACAGTTAGCAAAAGGGATTAAATGTGTTTTTTTTTAAATTGTCATTGCGAATCTGGATTTCTCTGTGGAACAGTGGTAGCATCATTACCTCAGCACCTCGGGTCCCTTGGTCAAGTTCCAGAGGTGTGCCATCACATGTCTGAACAGTTTAGTGAAAAAAAACCCGAGAAGTGAAATTAGAACAGAAACGGCTGGAGAAACTCAGCAGGTCAGGCAGCTTTGCTGGACAGAGAAAGCTGTGTCAATGTTTCGGATACAGTGATTTGTCCAGAAGAAGGGTCACTGGACTCAAAATATTAACTGCTTCTTTCCCCACAGACGGTGCTGGACCTGCTGAGATTCTTCGGCGATTTCTGCTTTTGTTTCAGATTTCCAGCATCCATAGTTCTTTGTTTTTGGTTTCCTGACAAACAAACTTTAGGTGGCTTTCTATTCCAGGTGGAACACACAAGCAACCATATACAGTATGCTGAATACCATCCCTCAATGGTGCAGTGATTACAGTAGTCCTCTCACAAATTCTGCTTGCAACCTTTACATATTTTCTAATCAACCTGCTCAAAGATGTTAATATGCACCTCTGGAGCAGGTGGGACTTGAACCCAGCCCTCCTGGTTCATAGGTCTCTTCTCCTCAGAGGAAACAGACCCTTCAATCCAACCCATCCAGATATCCCAACTGATCTAGTCCCATTTGCCAGCATTTGGCTCATATCCCTCTAAACCCTTCCTATTCATATACCCATCCAGATGCCTTTTAAATGTAATTGTACCAGCTTCCACCACTTCCTTCACATGTTATGACATAGAATAGAACCCCTACAGCCATTCACATTCACACTGACACTCTCAAAAGCCAACTCAGTGCCCACATATCTGTGCTTATTTCCCATGGCTAATCCACCTAACCTGCACATCTTTGGACTGTGGGAGGAAACCGGAGCACCTGGAGGAAACTCACGCAAACACAGGGAGAATGTGCAAACTCCACACAGACAGACAGTCGCCTGAGGGTGGAATTGAACCTGAGTCCCTGCTGCTGTGAGGCAGCAGTGCTAACCACAGAGCCACTATGCGACTTCCTTTGGCAGCTGGTGCCATACACACACCACCCACTGCGTGAAAAAGTTGCCCCTTCAGTCCCTTTTTATATCTTTCCCTCCTCACCTTAAACTTGTGCCCTCTATGGTTTTCGACTCCCCTACCCTGACCTTGTATATCCTCAGGCTATTACCCTGGGAGGGATTGAAGACACTCCATTGCCAGCAATCCGGACTGTGTTTCTAGTTGTTCCATAGTCCTGTTGCATAAGTACACACACACACACACATACAAAAGAGAAACAATCGTTAACAACTGGTGCCACGATCAGTAGTGATCTCCTGCAGTTAAAGAGGCGTGATTTGTGTCTGCCACGTGATAGCTAGGGAACCCTGAAAGAAGTTAAAGGTGACAGGCTTGCAACACACACACACACACACAAATAGATTGCCTGTAAACTGCAAGGGGGACTGAGCGCTGCCACAATGGGTGAGCTGACAGACGCTGACAAAGCGAACATCCGTGTGGTCTGGGAGAAATTGGCTGCGGATCCCGAGGGAAACGGCAGGACTGTGGTCCTGAGGTGTGTATTATTTCTCGAGCTTTTTATTTTCAGCCCCGGCTGCTTTCTGCCACCACTGTTTGCTTCCTTTCAATCCCACAGGCGTTTCTATTAGCTGGGCGCTAATGGATTCCGTCTAGTACATCTGATAATTAGGCTCTATTTTTAGCGATGCTGCTTTAAGGAGCCGTTGTGACCGCTGCAAACACAGAGCAGTGCAAACATTTGAAATAAAGCGTGCAAGCTGAACTATTAAGCAAAAACAAAAGACACTGGAAATACTCAGCAGGTCAGGTAGCACCTGTGCGGAGTTGCAAGTTCTGATCAAAGCTCATTATTTGAAACAGGAGCAAATTTTAATCTGTTCAAAATCCACTGAGTGAGCAGAATTAAAATTCAGGGTCTAACTCTCTCTTTTCCCATGATCTTTTGTCTTTTGTTTTGAAAGATATGAAATAACTGCACTTATCATAAAGCAGTGGGTGCACTGTCCAGTATCTCTCAAATAATTACTTCATTGAAAATATTTATTAACACCACATGTAGGCAGAGATCCAGGCATTTAGAAATATTGACAACTTTTTTTAAAAATTGCTTCCAGACTGGTAAACCAACAAATCAGAAGTTCTCAGCTGCAATATCAATACTTCTGAAATTACTGCAGCACAGTAAGAATTATTTATTTTGAGGGGATTATTAAAATATCTCTTTCAGTTGTCCTGTGTCTTGCAGAATCATGCTAACCCTCATGCTGTATGGTTCATTATGGGTCGCGAGAGTTGAAAATCTATAGGTGACCTTCTAAACCTGGTTGCTATTCTGATCGGGCAATTGTTTCCTATTTTTTAATCTACACGCTGGAAAGATATTTGTGATTAAATGCACAAAATAAATAAACTATATGCAGCTAAACAATCTGCAATCAGCGTGCTGGGCGGTAATGGACGCTAAATGCTTGTGGTTTGATAATAGCAATTAGAATATAGTCACAAAGTTGCCATAGACGTTTTGAAATGGAGCAACTGGTGGTGAGTTTACCTGAGGATCCACCGTGTCTCAGACGAGGGACAAGGTTGAGAAGGCAATGCCTTGATTGTAAGCCCAGACAGCACAGGAATTGACCCACGCCGTTGGCTAACTGAGGTGTGGTGACCCACAGGTTAAAACGCACCACCAATTGTCTCTCGCTGTGAGACAGAGGCTCTGTGCTCCTCTGGCACTACGGTGTGGAGCTGCCGGTGTTGGACTGAGGGCGGGCAAACTCAGAAGTCGCACGACACCAGGTTATAGTCCAACAGGTTTATTTGAAATCACAAGCTTTGGAAGCGCTGCTCCTTCATTTCAAAAGCTTATGATTTCAAATAAACCTGTTGGACTATGACCTGGTGTTGTATGACTTCTGACTCTGGGACTATGATAGTTTTTTTAAAAAAGTGTCCAGTATAGTGTCAACTATTAACAACTTAATGTTTAGCCTCCTTGTACTAGTGGGGTGGAGTTGGAAGTAGAGGTACACCATTAATTTTAACTGGAAGAAATCTGACCTGTTCACGTGTACTATTACTGACTTAGTAGTGAATTACATTCAGCAAGTGATTAGGAAGGAAAATGGGTGATTGTTGTTTATTGCAACAAGAATGAAATCTAAATGTAGAAATATCTTTCTGCTGCTGAATAGAGTTTGGAGAGGCTACACCTGGTGCCCATTTTTGGTATTATTTAAGAAAGGATGTGCTTACAATGGAGGCAGTTCAGAGAAGGTTCACTTGATTGGTACCTCAGATAGGGAGAGATGGTTTAATGATGGAAAGTTGAATAGGCTGGGCCTGTATTTATTGGAGTTCCAAAGAATGAGAGGTGATCTTATGATGTGGTCCTGAAGGGTATTGACAAGATGGAGCTGAATGGCTGTTTCCTGTTGTGGGAGAGACTAGAACTAGGGGACACAGTTTAAAAATCAGGGGGGGAGTTTCATTTAAGATGGAGATGAGGAGGAATTTTATCTCTCAGAGAGTCATTCGTGGTAGAGGCAGTCATGTTAAGGCAAAGGTAGATTCATTCCTGATAAACAAAGGTGTCAATGGTTATAAAAGGTAGGCAGCAATATGGATTTGAGTCCACTATCAGATCAGCCATAATTTTATTGAATGGTGGGGAAGGCTAAAGGGGATGAATGGCTTACTCTGCTCTTACTTTGTACATTCGCATGCTATGTTTGAATATTCTCCTACCACAGAGCTTTCACCCCAGTGAATGTTCTCTTAGAATTTTGCAGCTAATATTCAGTCCAATTCTTTCCATTTTCTAATGTTATCCACATATTTCCCTAGCATTTCGTTTCTAAATATCCAGGCCTTTCTCCATGTGTTTCTCACTCCCATTGGGCATTAACTTTCACTGCTTTCACTTTCACCCAAATTGATCTCAATAGCTTTTCTTGTCTTTTGTAATTCTCCGAATCTAACTTTCTTGTCTGCTCATATTACATTTCTCACTGTCTTTATTGATGCTGTTCCACTCTGTCTTCTGTAATTGACATCTTCCTCCAGGAACCACATCCTCTGCAAACTCCACACTCTGACTTTACTGAACTGCTCTCTTCTGCTGTCAACACCCCACAGTATTACAGAAGCACATCAAGTAAAACAGCTCAGTGTAGTGCCGCACCATTACTTCAGCCTCGACAATGGTAAGTTTCATTTCCTTCCCACAGAAAACTTATGATAAAGAACAATAGATTTATAACCTGTCAATAAACAATTTCATTGTCCACCATGGCCTAACATGAGTCGGAATCTCATTCATATTTACGTAGCTGTAGAGATAATCAAAATCACGTCTGTTAATTTAATAATGAGTTCTGCCTTATATTATCTGTGTTGAACATTGCTTAATCTACACTATGCACCTTAATCTTTCAGTCTCTATGCTTTATTCAATGCCACCATTGTAGCACCCATTATTTAACATATCAACACAGCTAGGCCACTCAGCTTCCCGAGCCTATTCTGTCAAACAGTTTGATCATGGCCAATCTATATGTTCAGCTATTTACCTGTTATTATACCGTATCCCTTGAAATTCTCAGAAAGAAGGTGGAGTCATTAATGACTTTGTCTGCAGCGATCTAGGTGCTCAGCGAAACAAAGCAATCAAATAAAAGCAAAACACTGTGGATGCTGGAAATCCGAAACAAGCACTCAGAATTCTGAAGAACCTCAGCAGGTCTGGCACTATTCATGGAGAGAGAAACAGAGTTAATGTTTCAAGTCTTCGAGTCAGTTCTGAAGAAGGACGTTGCCCGATATGGAAGGTTTGAGTTATAAAAAAAAAGGCTGGATAGGCTAGGGCTATTTTCACTGGAGCGTAGGAGGCTGAGAGGTGGCCTTATAGAAGTTTATAAAATCATGAGGGGTATAGATAGAGTTAATGGTAGTTGTCTTTTCCCTAGGATAGAAAATTTCAAGACCGGGGTCACGTTTTTAAGGTGAAAGGAGAGAGATTTAAAATAGACATGAGGGGCTTTTTTTTTTACACAGAGGGCGGTTCGCATGTGGAATGATCTTCCTGAAGAAGTGTTGGATGTGGGCACAATTGCAACATTTAAGAGACATTTACAAAAGCTTACAATTATAATGTTTAAAATACATTTGGATAGATACATGAATAGGAAAGGTTTGGAGGGAAATGGGCTGGGAACAAGCAGGTAGGACTAGTTTATTTTGGGATTTTGGACAGAAGGGTCTGTTTCCATGCTATACGACTTATGACTAAGAGCCATACCAGACTGGAAACATTTAAGTCTGTTTTTCTCGCTGCACAGATGCTGCCGGACCTGTTGGATTTCTCAAGAATTGTCTATGTTTAGTTCTTTTGAAAAAAAGCTCAATCTAACATTGAAATATGGTAGCATATGAGATGAGCTCAGTTTTTTAGATTCATATTCTGACATATGCATGATGGGCTCAGTGTTGTATGTTTCTCTGATTCATGGGATATAGGCATGACTGGCTGGGCAACATTCATTTCCCATCCATATTTGCCCTTGAGAAGGTGGTGTTCAGCTGCTTTCTTGAACCACTGCAGTTCTTATGGTGTAGAGACACCCACAAAGCTGTTAGGAAGGGAGGTCCAGGACTTTGTGCTATATCATTGTTCTTTTATTGTTGCTCTATCAACATTTGGTTAAATGAATGTTTGCTTGGCTCTTTCCATTGAGTAATAAAAAACAGGAGCTCAATAGGAGTACAATTCTGATAGTACTCTGAGAGCGTGAGGGTGGGCTAGTTATTCCATGATACTGCTGAAACATCAATGTGTATTAATGTCAGATAAAGACTGTATTTAGTTCAGATCGGTTATAATGTAAATTAAGGAGCTGGTTTATATTTCTTGGAGCATTTCAAGGAATTATATCACGTTTCTGTCAATCTTCTTTTTAGCAGAGGAAGTCAGACCTGTACGTTTTACTTCAATAACTTGGAGTGCTGTGACCTGAATTCACACTCACTTGAAGATAACTTTGCACTTTTGACACATGGGTGGGGGATTTTTTTTTTTTGGATAGTGGGTTTTCCTTCCCTCCCGCCCAGACAGTAGAACGAGGAACACATTCCTGTAGCTCATTTAAGTCACAGATCAGAGAATTCCTCCAGTGTGGAAGCAGGCCATTCACCCATCGAGTCTACACTGACCCTCTGAAGAGCATCTCATCCACACCTAGCCCCCACCCTATCCCTGCATTTCCCATGGCTAACCCACTTTAACCTGCACATCCCTGGACATGACAGGGCAACTTAGCGTGGCCAATCCACCTAACCTATGCATCTTTGGACTGTGAGAGGAAACTGGGGTGCCTAGAGAATCCCAAACTGCACACAACACAATGTTGCAAATGTAATCATTTATACAAGATGATAAAAACCTATTTTGACTTGTATATAAACAGTCTCAAGTGATATGAAATTACTTGGATGGTTTAGTTGCTAGGACATTAAATTTACTGCTTCAGGACGAATGGGGACAGATATGAAATGAGTTTTAATTCACCATTCCTTGTTTTGCACTATTGCATCATGTCAATATGTATCACTTTGAGAAAATACTCAGTACATACCTAGTACCTTTTCCCTCATCTAATTTTGCTAATTGACTCCTCTGCTACATGTTTCCTGTTACACGATGTGTGACACTATATACCTATATCAATGATCCTCTTTATAACCCACCCACCGAATGTAATGTTATAAATTCTGGTTGTTCTAATCTGCCATCCAGGTAATTGCCATTGCCAATATTGTAACCTAGCTGTTAGAATTACCTTCCTTCCTATCTCACATGAATAGGCCAAACAGAAGCAGACTAAGAATAGGCTTCCTACTAATCTCAGATAAAGCTCTTATCAGTGCGCCACAACTTCTTCAGAATTAGATAAATTATTATTGGTCACAAGCCTTAATCATCTCTGTAAGTCTAACATTTGGAACTTTGTCAAAACTACTTTGAAAGTATACAGTAATTTTTATCCACTGGATAGCCATTAAACAGAGTTAGTTACCTCTTTAAAAAATTGCAGTAGATTGGTGTAAAATCCTTTCTCTTGCTTTTCTATTTGAAGATGTGTTGAATGTAATCAGCTATTGCTTTCCTCCTTGATAATGATTAATTTCAACATCGTCATATTTTGGCTAGAGATAATAAAACTCATTTCTGGAAGACTTGCTGATTTTTGTCTTTTTCTTTTGGGTTCAAAATAAGAAACATTCTATTTTGGTTAAAAGAATGCTCAAAATGTTGTTGTCTTTAGGATCATAGACTAATTACAGCGCAGAAGGAAACCACTTGGCCCATTGTGTCTGTGTCAGCTCACAGCAGGAACAACTCGACTAGTCCATCTCTCCCATCCTTTCCCTAAAGTGCTGTCATCTTCTTCTCTTCAGATAATTAGTCAGTTATCTTTCACTGGCCTCAATTGAATCTGGCTCAGTCATACTCTCATTCCCCAATTCTAAATACTCACTACATAATAATTGTTTTTCCCCTGGGCAGCAATAGTCTGGGACTGACTGGCTGACTGATGTTACCTCCATCTGTCTTAAAGGTATGTTTTATTTTCTTTCCTTTATTCATTCATGGGAAGAGGACATCGCTGGCCAGCATTTATTGCCCATCCCTAATTGCCCAATGGGGTTTAAGAGTCAACTACATTGCTGTGGGCCTGGAGTAACATGTAGGCCAGACCAAGTAAGGATGGCAGTTTCCTTTCCTAAAGGACACTAGTGAACCAGATGAGTTTTTCTGACAGTCAACAATGGATTCACGGTCATCATTAGATTCTTAATTCCATATTTTTTAATATTGAATTCAAATTCCACCAATCAACACTGCAGCAATAATGCCACGAGGCATTGCCTCCCATTTTGTTCATATTGCTAGGGGGAGCAGTTAGAGTTTGATGTTGAGGTTAAGATTCCATTCAGCAGCCAAAGCTGAGGCAGCATTAAAGGATGTGCTACTACAATGGAGTGGGTCTTTCAGGGGAGTTCGATGTGTTTGAGGTGGTCTGGTTTGGATAGTGACAGTTGCTACTAATCCTCACGTTCGACTTGTGGACCCATCTTCCTAGTCCGTCCTTGATCCGCTTGTCCAGATTTTTAGTGGAAGGTTAAAACTTGTCCCTATTGCATTGTTCTCAAATCGACTTCTCTGCTGGATCTCAAGCTGTCAGTGGGAACAGTTTTCCCATGACTGTTCTGTCCAGGCCCCTTGTAATTTTGAACAGCTCAATCAAATCTCTTCTTAATCCCTTGTACAGCAAGAACAGACAGACCTTTCCAACCCATCTGCATAACCACGTGTCCCTGGAACCATTCACTTGAATCTTTTCAGCGTCTCCTCTAATGTCTTTATATTCTTTCTAAAGTGTGCTGCTCAGAATTGAACGCCGTACTTTAGTGAAGACAGAGCCAATGTTTTGTGCAAAGTTCGTTGTAACTTCTGTGTTTTTGTCCCGTTGTAAAGCCTAAGGTTCTCTATGTTTTATTAAGCAATTTCTCAACCTTCAATCACTTATGCACATATACCCGCAAGCCCTTCTGCTCCTGCATCTCCTTTAGAATTGTAACCTTCAATTCACATTGCCTCTCTTTGTTCTTCCTTTCAAAATGTATTGCTTCACACTTCTCTGTATGAAATTTCACCCACCACTTGTCTGTCCATTCTCCCTATGTTCTCTTGAAGTCTATCGTTACCCACATTATGGTTCATAATTTCAAGCTTTGCATCATCTATACATTTCGAACCTCTGCCCTGCACGCTGAAGTATAGGTCATAAAACATATATCCGTTGTTAATACTTTTCAAACATCTTTCTCTTGCACAAATCAGATTGTTCACGGATTACCCTGAGACGAAAAAGTACTTTAAGCATTTTAAGAACATTTCAACCCAGGAAGAAATGCAAAAATCCGCTCAGATCAAAAGACATGGCAAGACGGTGATGAACAAACTGACTAGCATCTTTGAAAAACTGGACGATTGGGTTGCAGTCTGCTCCATCCTGGATACCATGGCAGAAAGGCATGTTTACACACATAAAGTGGAGGTATACAACTTTCAGGTAAGTCTCCGGTTAATGTAGTATATATCGCTTTGTTGTTTCTCTGAATTTGCATTCAGTATTTTATGTATTTTAAGGAAAACAAAGCTGGCAAACCTCATTATAGATTTTGATGAGGTAATGATATCTCTAATACCTGCGAGTCACAGTGTAAATAGTAAACTCCAGCCAGAGTAGGTCAAAATATCAAAATGTTTATTGAAAATCCCGGATAAAGCATATAGATATTTTTAGTGATCCTATTCAGACAAGAAATAGAGCACTTTTGGAGCAGGTAGGACTTGAACCCACTGGGGACACTATCAAGGTGTCACAAGAGCTTGGAAAATGCTTGGTCAGCTTAAACAGATGTTATGCTCTGGATGTTTTTCCTAGTAAACCTGTTCAGAGATATTATTCCTAACCTGTGGAGTAGGTGGGACTTGAACCTGGGCTGCCTGGTCAAGATGTAGCAATGTCACCACAGTAACATGGGAGTTCTTTCTGATAAATCATATACGGTTGTCTAAGAAAATTTTCAATTCCTCTTTGGTAAATCAGTGCTACAAATTAAACATAGAATCATAGAATCGTAGAATACCTACAGTATGGAAACAGGCCATTCGGCCCAACAAGTCCATTCCATCCCTCCAAAGAGCATCCCACCCAGACCCATTCTCGTATCCCTGCATTTCTCATGTCTAACCCACCTAACCTAAACATCCCTGGGCACTATGCGCAATTTAGCATAGCCAATCCACCTACCCTGCACATTTTTGGACTGTGGGAGGAAACCGGAACACCTGGAGGAAACCCACGCAGACATGGGAAGAATCCCCACAGTCAGTTGCCTGAGGGTGGAATTGAACCCAGGTCCCTGGTGCTGTGAGGCAGCAGTATCCTGGTTTAGAAAAATACTAGTTTCAATTAGGAGATAAGCTGAAAAATAATAGATTTATAATTGTATAGAGAATAAAGAATATCTAGGAATGATGACAAGACAGGAGCTGAGTGGATTTTGGGTTGTTCACAGAATCCCGACAGTGTGAAAGCAGGTTATTGACTAATTGAATCCACCACAAGCCTCCAAAAAGCATCCCATCCAGACTCTCCCCCTTCTACCTACATTCACATGGCTAATCCATTTAGCCTGCATATCCGTGGACACAACAGGGCAAGTTAGCATGATCAATCCACCTAACCTTCACATCTTTGGACTGAGGAAGGAAACCCATGCAGATACAGAGAGAACATGCAAACACCACACAGGAAGTCACCCAAGAGTTGAACTGAACCCAGGACCCTGGCACTGTGAGGCAGCAGTGTCAATCACTGAGCCACCGTGCATATTAAATAGGCAATGCAAAATCTAAATAGTTCACATTGTTTTGAAAATGTAATCACTGCCAAATTGTGCATAATATGCACTACATCTGAAAGTGTACAATTAACTTGGTTTAATTGAGCGCTGAGTTCCTTCTCATTACCAGTGCAATCTACATAATTGCCTGCATTGCATGATTAACTAGATTCTATGATAACGTTATATAGCAATTCACATATGTTATGATTTTATACAGATGTGCTGAGCATAAAGAATATGAATAAATAGTGTTTTACAAAACCATTTAAGAATAATCCAAAATTTTCAACTTAATTCTGTGTTAGTAAAATTTTTATGTTGACAACAAGCAATAATAAACTAGCAAGCCATTACAATAACAAATTAAAATGGACAGGCACAATTTTGATTTAAAAACAAAACACAATTGAGTTCAGAAGGATGCTTAAGAGCTGCAGCAGTTAACTCTGCAAATAGGACACTCAACAGCAGAGGTTTTCACACACACAAGGTACCAAAAACAGCAGGACATGGATAGAGCTGAACAGCACCATAATTAATTGATTAAAGTACCTGCACCCCTAGGTCTCTTTGCTAGGCAACGCTCCCCAGAGCCTTACCACGAAGTGTATAAGTCCTGCCCTGATTTGCCTTTCCAAAATGAAGCACGTCACTAAATTAAGTCCATCTGCCACTCCTTGGCCCATTGGCCCATCCGATCAAGATCCCATTGTACTCTGAGATAATCTTGAATGTCCACTACACATCTACAAACACACAAATATACCTACTAAATTCACATCCAAATCAACTGTATAAATGATGAAAAGCAGTGGACCCAGCAGCGATCCTGTTCAGCCTGTGGACACATCTTCCCAGCCTGCCCTTGTTCTGGTTAATTTTTATTAGAAGGTTGAAACTTTGGGCTTCACCATGTGGGTCAGATGTCATGTCACAGTTGGTACTATGTGCAGTGTGTATCAGCAAGGGCTTAGGATCTGCACAAACGTGCGATTTTCTATATTGTCAGCTTTGAGGATGGACCTCCACATAATCCATTGGTTAAAGTAAGCCTTTCGGTTTGAAAACGTGTTGCATAATCCTGTCCAGCAATTCCAGCCCCGGGTCTCCTCGTCCAATAATGAACTCAAAATGTGTGATTGAAAGCAGCTCAAATATCAACGTTATAAAAAAAGTTCACTTTCTTTGATATCCTTTAAGTCTAACGTGTCCCATTGAATTCACTTTTATTTTTTTCTGCTCTTTCTTGTCTAGATTATATTTAATTTAATTGTTTCAATCATGGCCGAGTCATTGGGAAGCACCTTTACACCAGAGATCCGTGAATCCTGGGTGAAGATCTTCAGTATTATTTACCATTATCTTGAGGAATGCTACAAGAAACACGAAGCCGCATCCTAAATTAATGGCTTGTGGTTGCAAACACCTACTGCTCCAACCGTTGATAAATGAATGATATTGTGTCTAAACAACTCTGTACTGCAATGACTAACATGAGCAGCATTTGGATGGATCTATTTGAGAAAAATGATGTTTTGACATTAAGAATGGAAGGAATAAATGATAATATTGTGAAAAAAATTAAAAATATCCATTGATCATCTACATTGTTAAATTATATAAAGTAAGGAATATTTTCTGCTTTAGTTGAGCAATACCTTACTCAATTGGTCTGATTTTAGTTCTTGCATTTAGCCAGACAAAGTAAACATTACATCAATGGATAGAGGTGCTGGTCTAGTGGTATCATCACTGGACTGTTAATCCAGAGACCCAGGCAATGATCTAGGAACCCAGGTTTGAATCCCACCATAGCAGATGGTGGAATTTGAATTCAGTTAAGATCTGTAATTAAGAGTCTAATGATGACCATTAATTGATTGTTGGGGGGAAATAATACATCAGGTTCACTAATATCCTTTAGGGAAGGAAACTTACCTGGGGTCTGGCCTACATGTGACTCCAGACCCACAGCAATGCAGTTGACTCTCAACTGCCCTCTGTGCAATTAGGGATGGGCAATAAATGCTGGCCTAGCCAGAGATGCCCAAATTCCATATCTTATTTTAGTTTTGTGGACCCTTTCAAAGACTCCAGGGAAATATGTCCTGTTTTAAAATATATAATTTTACTTTGAGATTCATCTTTTTTGACACGTCCCACAACCCAATGCACCCAGTTATTTACCTCACTCCAACAATATTACAGTATCCCTCTACCTTAATCTTACACAAGGCTCATATTGGGGTGAAGGTGGAAGTCTTAACCTTGGCTGAAGTTGAAAAATATTGCTGCCTTCAAAAAAAAATCATTCTCTGTAGGAATAACTGTTTTGTTTTTTTTTGAATGCAGCTGCTTTTTGTGGTTCCTCCTGGCAGGGGATTACTTGTTATGGTGTATTCCCACTTGTCTATCCTTGCACACCCGTACTCGCAGCCACTCTGCAATATCCATCAGCTAACTGTGCTCAGGTGGATCCCTCTTTCTCTACTTTGACCTCTAGAAGAGTTCTCCAACTTTTCAGCTCTGATCAAAAGTGAAATACCGACATTTGCTTTTCTGGATGTCACTTTTGAAGATTTCTATTGACTCTTGCAAGTTCAAGTCCTCTTCATTTGCCTTAATATAGATCTTTCAACACACTGCTTAGCAGTCTCCTTTCAAAGGTTACTGTTGCATTGATCTGCCATAGATCTTTACAGGTTTCTGAGGCAAACGGGAAAGAGGGCAGAATGTAGCATCTTATGAGTTTGATTCCTGGTTGCATCTGCCTCTTCCATTATCATTTAGACAAATGTAGCTACCTGTTCTGCCACGCACTGCAATCTTCATTCTAGTTCCTGATTACAATTCCGGATTTCTGGCCTGTCTTTCTGGACACAATGGATGGAAATTTGGGACAATCATGACATTAAACACTGAGCTAGTTAAGGAAGGCCACCTCTTACCCCCTGCCCCATTTCTTTTTTCCATTCTGCAACTTCGACTTGTTGACAAAACCATTTATTGTGAGAAAAACCAAATAGTCAAAAATGCAAATTTATACTTCCACTTACCTGATTTTCATGCAAATTGCAAAATGAGTCAATGAAATGCTTTTGGAAATGTGAGTACATGTAGTTTGAATCATATCCATGCATGGACGAACCAACCACTTGGAAAAATTACTATTTTGCAAGATTGTACCATGCAAGTTTGTATGTTATGCTGGATTTAAATCTTACTAATTTACTAAATTCCTACAATTAATTCAAAATAATATTGTGCAATGATCCAACAATTGCATTTTTTACATATTAACTATCAATGTAGAAGCAATCCAGATGTCTCTATATATTAATTCCATATATTTAACCATTTTTAAAAATTGCATTGTATTTTGAAAACTATATTTAGCAACATTAATAAAACAAGAATATATTGTTTTAACCTGCCAGCCAAATTTGACATATGGCCTTCGACATGTACGATTACAGTTAAAACAAACCTGTTGCCATGACGGAACTTCTAAAAGTTTTCTATTTACTTCTTCAGTGCAATAAAATGTGTTGCTCATAATGTTTATTGTCGATTTACTTTTAAAAATTCATTGTAGTGCTCTAAAACATAGATAGTCTTACTTAAGTCATAAAGCCAATCAATATGAATCAATAAAATTGTCCAAGAGAGAAATGAGATGACACTAGGGTAAACGAAAATCAGGGAAAATATGCTAAATTAGTTTTAGTAATTCAAAGTAAAATAAGGGAAAGAGAGTTAGGTTAACATAAGGGGAGTAATTTTAAAATGAAGTAATTAAGAAAGTAGTCAGTGAGTAAGTAGGACTAGATAAGTTTGAGACACGGCAGCTCAGCTCAGTTGAGTGGAATGCATGACTGTCATGTGTGGGCAGTCATGGACCCTACTGGTTTCATGGACAACCACATGTGTAGGAGCTGGGGAAGCTTAAGTCTGAACTCCATAGCTTGAACAGTGGCTGGAAACTGTTCATCATGTGGCTGAGAGTTACACGGATAGCATATTTAGAGAGATAGGTCTCACCAAGCTCAACGGGTTGGAGTAAGGAAGGACCAGGGAGTCAAAAAGAATCAGGCAGGTATTGCAGGAGTCACCTGGGGCGTCACTCACACATTGGTTTTCCAATTTGGAAGCTGATTCCTCAAGGGATTGCAGCCAGAGCCAAGCCTCTGGCACCACAAGTGGCCTGACTGTACAGAAGGAGAGAAAGAAGAAAGGGGAGCGATAGTGATGGGGGGGAATTCATTCGTTAGGGGAACAGTCAGGCCTTTCTGTAGCTGCAGAATGGCATGTTGTCTCTATTGCACCAGGGTCAAGGAGTCCATGGTTACAGGGCATTCTTCTGGGGCAGAGTGAACACCAGAGGTTGTGGTCCATGTTGGTACCAGTGATTTAGGTAGGAACGGGGACATGATCCTGTAATCAGATTTTAATGAACTAGGTAAAAAGCTAACAAGCAGCACCTCAAATGTTGTAAACTCTGGATTACACCCAGCACCATGTGCAAGGGAGTACAGAATTAGGAAGATAAGGCAAATTAATGTGTGGCTGGATAGATAAATCCGTGGGAGGGGTTTAAATTACTGGGATTGGCTTTAGCAGAGACAGTACCTGCACAAGCCAGGTTGCATATGAACAGAACTGGGACTGAATATCTTGTGGGGTGTTCTGCTAGTGCAGTTGGGAGGGCTTTAAACCAACTTGGTTGGGAATGAAGAACAAATAGTAGAGGGGAATATCATGATTTGGAGATGACTGGGGGATAAAGCTGTCACTAACATAGAGAATAACAAGTTAATAGATGAACTTAGCATAAAGGCAAAAGAAATGGAAGTCCAAAACAGAGTTAATGCACATGTGTGTGAATGCTCAGAGTACAGTAAAATAAGCTTGGAAGTTACAAGTGCAGATTGCAATGTGGAAACATGATGTTGTGGTGATAGCAGAGACCTGGCTCAAGAAAGTGCAATAATATTCGGACCTGGCTCAAGGAAGTATAATAATATCGCTTATTCGGGAAAATTGAAAAGGAAGGAAAGAAAGAGGGGTAGCAAAATTGGTTAAGGAGAGCATTGCAGTAGTGGAGAAAAAGGATGTTATACAAAGTTGATGAACAGAGTCAATTTGGCTAGAGCTAAGGAATAAGAAGGATGCAATTATAATGCTTGGTGCGGTCTATAAACCACCAACCAGTGGAGTGCTCAGAGAGGAACAAAGTTGCAGAGAAATTACAGAGCAATGCCAATATGCAGAGTAATGGGGTCGTCTAGAACATGGGTAGTGTCCATTATTTCTTACATATGGCATATGACATATCACTTATTCCAGTCGACTGACCTGAGCTGCCATGCCATAAACTTCATTTCCCCAAATATAGACATAGTGTAAGAGGTGAGTGGTCTTTTCCTGTGTTCAGGAGAGTTTCTGTACAGCAGCATGTGCCCAGTCAAATGAGGAAAGATGTACCATTGGACCTTGTCATCGGAAGCAAGGTGTGCCAAGTGGATCAAGTGTCAGTGGGGGAACATTTAGGAGACACTCACCATCGTGTCATATGGTTCATGATGATACAAGAGAATGACATGTCACAATCCAGAGTAAGGAAAATCAATAGGTTGCGAGCTGACTCCATTGCTGGGTAGGATTGACTGGAACAGGAGGCTCATGGGAAAGAAACAGTAACTGGACAATGGGCCACCTTCAAAGAGCAGATGGCTTATGAACTGTCAAGGTATATTCCCTCAAATGGGAAAGATAGGACAAACAAATCCAGAGTTTTCTGAATGAGATCAAAATGAACATGATAAAGAAAATGTGTGATGGGGTAAGACAGAAACGACAATTGAGATCCAAGTGGAATACTGCAGGTTTGGACAGTAGTTGAAAAAGAAACTTAGAGAAGCGAAGAGGAATTATAAGAAAAGACAAGCAGCTAACATAAAGGGAAATCTCAAAGTCTATTGGCATACAACTAGTAGAAGAATAGTTGGAGGAGGAGTAAGGCGATTTAAAGGCCAGAAAGGGGAATCACACATGGAGAAAGGGGCCAGAGCTGAGATGTTAAATGAATACTTTCCATTAGATTTTACAAAAGAAGAAGATGTCCAGGCCATGGTGACCGGGAGGAAACTCTGTCACTGGACGAGTTCAAAATTAATAAGGAAGAAATCTCTGCTAGGCTGCTGGGACATGAAGTTGACAAGACACCAGGACCAGATGAGATGCATCCAAGGATTTTAAAGGAAGTGAGGGTAGAAATTGTAGCGGCACTGGACAGATTCTTGCAATCTGCTCTGGACTCAGGGATGTGCCAAAGAATGGAGAATTGCAAACATTCAGGTCTGTTCAAGAAAGATCATATCTCAGCAACTGCAGAACAGTTAGTTTAACTTCGGTGGTGGGCAAGCGTCGAGAATCAATTATTCAGTATAGAATTAGGAGTCACATGGAAAAAGGTGGGTTGATGAGGAAGAGTTAGCATGGATTTCTGAATGGGAAATCATGTTCAACTAACTTGCTGGAGATTTTTGAAGTAGTAATGGGAAGGCCTTAATAACAGTAACAGTTATCATAGACTTTCAGAAGGTGTTTGATAGTGCCTCAACAGATTTGTGAGGAAATTTATAGGTCATGGTATGAAAGGGACTGTAGCAACATGAATACAAAATTGGCTGAGTGATATGAAACAGAGAGTAGTTATCAATGGATATATTTTGAGTAGGAGGAAGGTTTGTAATGCAGTTTCCTAAGAGGTATTAACGATCTAAATCAAAGTAAAGGTTTGCTAATGACTCGAAACTTGGAAGAATTGTAAGCTGTGAGGAGGACAACGCAGAATTCCAAAAAGACATTGAGAAGTTGGAGGAGGGGGCAGATAGGTGGCAGATGAATCTCAATAGAGAGAAGTGTGAGGTGATGCTCTTCGGCAGGAAGAACACTGAAAGGCAATACATGACAGGATATCCAATTCTAAAGGGGGGGCAGGAGCAGAGGGACCTGGGTGAACATGGGCATGGATATTGAAGGTGGCAGGACAGGTGGAGAGAGCAGTTCATAAAATATACAGTGTCCTTGCCTTTATTAATAGGGGCGTAGAGTACAAGAGCATGGAGGTGATGTTGAACTTGTAGAAGATACTGTAAACTTTACACCTGGTGTACTTTCCTGGGCACCATATTATTGGAAAGATGCAAATGCATTGGAGAAAGTGCAGAAATGATTGACAAGAATGGTTCAAGGGATGAGGAGCTTCAGTGATGAGAGTGGATTGGAGATGTTGGGACTGTTCTCCTTGGAGAGATGAACGATGATCATCCTCAGAGTGTACTGCAGAGTGGCTATAACTCCTAACTTCCTCCATTATAGCGATCTTGAAGTCAGTGTATTTGGGGAAGAGAAAGTTCAAAGCTAAATTACTTCCTCAGTGTGAATGAAAGCCAGAAAGCAAGGTAGGGCTGAATTTTCTCATTGACCCTATGAAACAGGGTTGGAGGAACAATGGCTTGGAAAATCATGAAGTGGGGAGCAGCATTTTAGGATAGCTCTGTGGCTCAATCCCAACTCCTGCAATGTTTCCGAGGGATGGGCAGAGAACCAGATGATATCCATTATAGAGGGTGGCAGCCAATTAAGATGACTTACTCCCCAATGATGGCCAATTCTGTTGCCTTGCCAGCATTTTACTGGCAGGTGATCCACCTACCATGGCAGAAGTTGGCAACTCATTGCAAGTGGCCTCCTGGTGCTGGTCTGGACTTTGAGTATAGTAGTTGGGAAGTCACGTTGAAGTTGTACAGGATATTGGTAAGCCTAGTTCTGGAATACTGTTGCCTAGTTATAAGAAGGATATTATTAAGCTAAAGAGGGTTCAGAAGAGATTTACCAGGATGTTGCCAGGTACGGAAGGTTTGAGTTATAAAGAAAGGCTGGATAGGCTGGGACTTTATTTACAACACTACATGCTCTGATATCATAACTTATACTTATGTAAAGTTTGGGTTCCAAACTTACTTAAGTTGCTGCTACACTGTAAACATAGTTGACTAACTGATCAAATTTTCTGAAGATGGGTCTAGGCCCGAAACGTCAGCCTTCCTGCTCCTCTGATGCTGCTTGGCCTGCTATGTTCATCCAGCTCTACACCTTGTTATCTCTTATAACTGATCAAATAACTGCTTAACTGACTGAGAGTAAGACTGAAACCTTTTTTACTAGAGCTTCAAATGTTGTGATGTCATCTAGCTATCTTAAGAGTACAATCCCTAGGCAGAGACAGGCCCGAGAATTCCTAAAAGCATGGCACTCCACGAAGCATGCTATTAATAAACACATTGAACTCGAACCCATATACATTCCACTACGAAGGAAAACCGGAAGCGAGGCAATCCATCTCAACGGACTGCAGAGTTTAAAAACCAGGCGGGAAAACACACCGTCGCTTCATCGGAGGCTGCACTGAGGATGTTACCCAGCACGGTAACGAAACGTCTGCAAAACAAGAAACCAGCTCGGCGAGCCAACCAACCTCAACACCCACAACC